TTACTTTGGGCGATGTGCTTAGGAAAGGCTTCCTCCTCCTGATGTTGGGTATGTAACTGTCCTCCTGTTGTCTTCCAGTACTTTTGTGGTTTGGGATCTTACACTGGTTGAAGGGTTGCACACACCAGCTGCAGGCTCCTGTCCCAGTTTGGTGAACAGACTGCACACACAGGCGGTACTTCACCAGGAACCTTCTCCTCGAGGGTGGGGCAGGGCTGGCAAAAACTTACATCCATGAGAGGTCAGTTGGTTGACCGATGTCATGGTTTTCAAATCAGGGGGAAGATGCCTCTGGGCAGAATGAAAGTCTTTGGGTGGGTGGAGGGCATCCCGTCCACCTGAGGCCAGGAGTTTAGACAATGGCACAGAGCCAAGGAGCTTGGGATCCCGGGAACTCAGCTTCCGTTGGACCCGGGGAGGCAGCATTGAGGAGGGTGGGGTCAGGAGAGAAGGGAACATGGGTGGGAGAATCAGGCGAGACTGTTCTCTGACTGATTTCCTTAACACCCTGGTGCTTCCCGTGCCAGTGTGCCTGACGATGTTACTGCTGTAATCCTCAGGACAACTCCGTGAGGTGGCGTTGTCACTGTCCTCCCTCTGTAGGAGAGGACACACAGGCACCTCAAGGTGGCGCCTCCCTCGGGGATCACTGGCAGGGGGGTGTGGTGGGCAGTGAGGGCAGATGAAAGCCTGAGCGCACGTCGAGCTTACGTCCAGGCGCACCTGCCCAGGGACACACAGTGGGCTGGGTGTTTGCCTTTCCTCTGCAGATTCCAATGTCGGGGATGAGGACTGGACTCCAGTCGACAAATTGAGTTTCCCACTTTGGAGACAGGGCGGAGGTGAGGAGGAGCAGGTGTGCTGAGGCTGGACCTGTCCTAGCACCCTTCATCCTGGCCTCAGTCCCTTCTGAGCATCCTTTATGGAGAGGATGTGCCTGGGGGTGGAGTGTCTCCAGGACCCAGAGCTGGCCAGTGGTCAGGGTGGAACTTGATCCCCGGTCTGTGTGTTCTGTACAAGTGATCGGAGCCCAGGCCCTCTCTTCTCTGCTTCCTGCCAGGTCCATCTGCCCAGCACAGGCCTTTCCCCAAGCCCCCTGGCCTCTACTACTAGGACGTGCCTGTGCCAGGCTTGGTGTCCCCCGAGCCTGTCACAGCAGTTCTGGGTTCTGCATGTCGTGTCCGTCAAAGTACATGGTGTCGCCATCCCTCGTGTTATAAAAAATTGACACAGATGACTGCCTGCAGCACGCAGAGGTGGATGCCACGGTCTGTTCTCCAGGTGTTCTTGGGACAGACAGGAAGCCAGCGATTTCCACAGGAGGTGCCATGGGTGTGGTCAGAGTGACCACAGGGTTTCCGTGAGGCAGAGAATAGGGGTGCTGCGTAAGTACAAGGTCGGAGGGCCCAGCGGGCAGGGCTAGGGAGAGAGCCACCCTGGGAGAACGAGCAGAGTGGGTGAGGGAGGGGAGGCGGCTCCTCGCTGAACGGGCTGCCTGCCTTGCTGCTGAGGAGGAAGGCCCTTGAGGCAGGCAGGACATGGACTTGGCCAGAGGCTTGGGGAGCTGACGGGGGTGGGGGTGAGGATGGGGTGGGGCCTGGAGACAGAGGCCACCACAGGGATGGCCACAGGTGTGGTGTGACATGCGGTGAGGATTGAACTGCAGGGAATGGTGTTCAGAATCGGGAAGCGAAGAGGAGGCTCCCGGGCATCCCGTCTGGACCATTGTGGGGCACAGAGCTCAGGCTGCTGGGTGTTTTCTTTCTTTTTTTTTTTTTTTGCGGTATGCGGGCCTCTCCTGTTGCGGAGCACAGGCTCCGGACGCGCAGGCTCAGCGGCCATGGCTCACGGGCCCAGCCGCTCTGCGGCATGTGGGATCTTCCCGGACCGGGGCACGAACCCGTGTCCCCTGCATCGGCAGGCGGACTCTCAACCACTGTGCCACCAGGGAAGCCCTGGGTGTTTTCTTGGTGTGTCACCACAGGCGGGGTCTGGGCTCCAGGTGGGGGACTCACGGGGCCCGGGTGGTGGGTCAGGTCTGGACCAGAGACCAGTGGAGCTCTGCCTGGCAGATGGGTGGCTGTGGAGCAGGGGCAGCCCTCCAACCCTCTCCCACCCCCAGGTGCCTTGTGGAGCCTGGGTCTCAGTGAGGGCTGCGTGCTCTCAGCCCCCAATCATCTTGTCAGGGCTGGTCTGCCCAGGCCGTGGCCTGCAGACAGCCCTTCTGTCTCTCATGGTACTGATGCCTCCCTGACGGCCGCCAAGGTACTGGACCTGTGGCCGGGGTCTCGCCTGTGGGGCAGACCATGTGCTCACTTTCCTCCCTCCAGGCCTCTGAGGCTCTCCCTCTGCCCCGGTTGTGCTAGTTTGACTGTGTTTATTGACAGTCATTTATTGACAGTTGCCAGCAGGAGCCTGTTATCTGGGGGCGGAGGCCCAGGAGCCGTGGGTCCTGAGTGCGAAGGAGGGAGCCGGCACCTGTGCAGGCGCATGAGATGCAGTACGTCGTGGTCAGAGCCCGGATGGCGGATGGCGCCTCTGACAAAATGCTGAGGTGGCCGAAAATGACAGGACAGGCCCTTTCCTTGGGGGAAAGCGGAGGATTAGAACAGCAGAACTGCCTGCTTCCTTTTTTGGCTCATCTTCTATTTTATGGAGTATGATCTGCAGACTGGAAACAGGAGCAAGAATGTTTTCTGTTTTTTGTTTTTGTTTTGTTTTTAATTTTTGGCCGTGCCGCACGGTATGTGGGATCTTAGTTCCCTGCAGGGGATCAAACCCGTGCCCCCTGCAGTGGAAGCACAGAGTCTTAACCACTGGACTGCCAGGGAAGTCACAAGAGCAAGAACATTTTTAACAGTATGGTTTGCAGAACTGAACAGTGTTCAGGGTGCCTGTCGGTTCTCCTGTTCGGGCGGTGCTGCGGGCGCAGTGGGGACGTGGCTGGTGCTCCTGGCAGAGCCTTCCCCCGCCCCTGCCATGAGACCCCTTCCCTGAGTACGATGAGCACGAGCACGCTGAGACCACCAGGCAGAACTGGGTGGTTACCCAGGCCCTGCTGCCTGCTGCTTGTGTTCCATTCTTGTCCACAGACACCTGTTTCTGGCCTCCTGTGTAGTCGATGCCCTTCGGGCTCTGAGTTACTAACAGCCGGTGCCTGTGCGTCCCTATCGTCTGTGGCATTGCCCTGACCATGACAGGCCAGGGCTCCTGCTCCAGGACATCCGGTGTCTTTGGGCCTGGAGAGGTCCCTCCACCACGAAGCATAGGTCTGTCTTGTCTCTGCGGACATGCCAGGGTCTCTGCTGCAGGCAAGATGCAGTGTCTGCGGGGGGCCTGCAAGCCTGCCCCCTTCAGAGCTGTTGCCAGCAGCTCGGAGGACCACTTGTCACCAGCCAGGCGCCTGGCCAAGCCCCCAGGTCTTCTGCTTGTGACGCAGGGCCCTCTGCGCCCCTCTTGGCCACTCTGTGCTTCACCTGGCTCCTGGGGCCTCTTCCCAGCCAGCTGCCAGCCATCACGGCCCCCTCATGTGTCTACCACTGTCCTTGGGGTTGCCCCAGTGGTCCGCGGCTCTGTGGCCCTCAGCTTCGGGCAAGCCTCTGTGGTAGGGTTAGCCTCATACGGCTGTTGGAGGAGGGATGGGGGTGCTGGGGAGACCCCCCTTGAAGACAGGTCTGCTTAGTCACTTGTCGGAGCTGTTCGAGGACTCAGAACCCACGTTCACACGTGGGACGCCTGCCCCGCTGGCCTCAGCCCCTGCACGCCAGGTCCCCCTGGCCTGTCGGTCTCGCCTTGTCCTCCTGCATCCTTCGTTTTGCCTCTCTTTGATCCTGGTCACACGGCCCCTCGTGCGAGCGTCTGCTCTACTCTGGATGCTTCTCCAGCGGGAACCCGTTGCTGCCTCCTGGCCCTGGTGCAGGCTCAGGGAAGCAGGCGGGAGGTGGGGGCTCTGGTCTCACGTGCGGAATCTGGCAGTGTGGTAGTCAGCAACATTTTATCTTTATACGTTAGTACAGATTTATCCATCTCAGCATTTAGCCTCTTGTCTGGGGTTTCTCTCGGGATCACGAACGTGGTCCTGCAGCTCATGTGCACGCTCTTTCAGTACCCAGGGTGTGTGTGTGTTTGGAGCCATCAGAAAGCCTTCCAGCACCGGCTGGACTTGGCTTGTTGGATTCCCTTGGGAGAGGGGGGTCTTTATCAGTGAGCCCAGCGCTGGGAAGACAGGTCGGGAGACCCATCCTGCGGAGAAGAAGGCGGGCTGTGAGCAGAGGGGCCAGGCTTGTGGACCTGAGCCTGATGTGCTCCTTCCTTTCTCACAAATGCGCACCTATCCTTACCTTTGTCTGGGGGCGGGGTGGGAGAATGTGTGCTACCACCCAGAGGAGCTCGGGCTTAGCCATGTGCAGCAGAGCATCATGTGATGAAAACCTGGGCTCACATTCCGTCTCTTGCCATGCATGTGTTGGCATTGGTGTGGTCTGTCTCCTGCCCCCAACTGGAAGTTGTTGAGGTCGGGCTCATCTCCTTGGTCCCACTGGGAGGACCTGCATGTCCGACACAGGGACCTTTGCCTTGGGAGGAACTGAGAGGTGACTGACATGGCCCCTCTGTTCCAGCAGAGGAGGCTTCCAGAGCAAGGGTCCCACTGCTGTTGATGCCAGAGTTGGGTGGGGGCTCAGGTCACGTAGAGGGCAGGAAATGGAGGCTGGCTGGACGCCCTGTTGCTTAATGTGCTGGTTGTGAGCAGCCTCTGGGCCTGGCCCCTCTGCTCGCTCAAGCTGGGTGGCTGCTTTGTTTCATGGTGACCGCCTTTCCTGTTCCTTCCTTCTCGCGGCGCTGCCCGCCTTCTCCTTTGCTCAGCTGCCTTTCATTGCTGTGCTGAGAGCCCCTCCCTTCGTTCCTCTCCTGGGCCTCAACCAGGCTGGTGGGCCAGACCACATCCGTGGGCCTGCTGGCCAGGGAGCCTGTGTCAACATCTCTCCTCCTTTGTGTTCCAGAGAGGATGCCATGAGGAAGGCTGGCGTGGCCCACAGTAAATCCAGCAAGGACATGGAGAGCCACGTGTTTCTGAAGGCCAAGACCCGGGTAAGGCCCTGGGGGGTGGCCCCCAGTGGGGACGCTGCTGGAGGGCAGGGTGCCAGGCCGTGGGGACGGGGTGGCTGCTCACTGTTGGGTGGCACTCTGTGGGAAGATCCTGTGTCTGTGGTATAGGTGCGGGAGGGGATTGGGTGGGCATCCAAGATGCAGGCGCAGCCTCCGACCCCAGACCTTGCTGTTGGCACCCCCATTCATGGTCAGCTCCCGTGAATCCTGTAGGGCGCCCCCTCGGGCCCCGGTGGTTCCCATGGACGGTGCTCTGAGTAAGACCCGCTCTGTCCTCAGGCTCAGCCCTCCTGTGGGTCAGGGCCCTGACAGGTGGGAAGGGTTCCTGTCCCCTTTTGTTAAATGATGCAGGTGATGCTCGTGGAGGGCGAGGCCTTGGTGAGGACGAGGCTTGGGAACTTCACAGGTGGAATGGTTGGGGCGGGTTTCCTGTGTGAGCTCTCGCGTGAACTGGGCATCACCACGGGCTTCACGTGACCACCTCCTGTCATCTGCCTTAGGGTAGAGCTGCTCGTAGAAATGAAACAGAACAGGCACAAAGAAGCAAGCGGCTTGTCTGGGTTACCTGGCTCGTGCGGGACAGGCTGTGTCTGCTGCACCAGCTCTGCCGAGCACCTGGTGCCCGAGCGTGGTGCTGGAGCTCTGAGACCTACTGTGTGTCAAGAGTCAAAAACAGGGACTTCCCTCGTGACGCAGTGGTTAAGAATCCTCCTGCAAATGCAGGGGACACGGGCTTGAGCCCTGGTCCGGGAAGATCCCACATGCCGCGGAGCAACTAAGCCTGTGCTACACAACTACTGAGCCTGCGCTCTTGAGCCTGCACACCGCAACTCCTGAGCCTGTGTGCTGCAACTGCTGAAACCCGTGCACCTAGAGTCTGTGCTCTGCAACAAGATAAGCCACCACAATGAGAAGCCCACGCATTGCAACGAAGAGTAGCCCCCGCTCACCGCAACTAGAGAAAGCCCGCACGCAGTAACGAAAACCCAATGCAGCCCAAAATAAATACATAAATAGATAAATTTAAAAAAAAAAAAAAAGAGAAAAAAAGAATCAAAAGCAGATGCTATTTATGGTTGGATCCGGGTTTAGGTAAACCAACTGTCAAGAAGTACAGAGGTCCGTTGGGGAAACTTAGCCTGGTCTGAGTGTTTAGATGAGGTAAACATTTTCTGAAATGGAAAGGTAGAGTTGATTGGCCGGAGAGTGCAGCTTCCAAAACAGAAACCATGTGTACAGCCTGGGCTTGGAGGTCAGAGCACACCACCATGTGTTTGTGAGCACAAGTAGGTGGAGGATGAGCAGCAGAAGCCCGTGCACTGAGGTGGGCGGGCTTGTGCTGTGGACATAGAAAATGGTAAGTGTTATATTCTTTTTTTATAGCAACTTTATCGAGCTCTAATTCATATACTGTACAATTCACCCATTTAAAGTATACAGTTCAGTGGTTGGTCTTTTAGGGTCTTCACAGAGTTGTGCAGCCATCACCACAATCCATTTTAAAGCATTTTCTTTTTTCTTTTCTTTTTTTTTTTTTCTTTGGCCACACCTTGCAGCTTATGGGATCTCAGTTCCCCGACCAGGGATTGAACATGGGCCATGACAGTGAAAGCCCGGAATCCTAACCACTTAGGCCCCCAGGGTACTCCCTAGAGCATTTTCTAAAGAATCTCTATACCCATTAGCCAGCACTCGCCATTTTCCCTCAACCCTCAGTCCTAGGCAACCACTTATCTGCTTTCTGTTGCTATAGATTTGCTTATTTTTTACTTTTCATATAAATGCATCATAAAATATATGTTTCTGTGATTGGTTTCTTTCACTTAGCATAATATTTTTAATGTTCACACATGAACCATGGTGTAGCATGTACTTTATTCCTTTTTATTGCCAAATAATATTCCATTGTATGGATGTACCATATTTTATTTATCCATCACCAGTTTATGGACATCTGGAGTGTTTCCACTTTTTGGCTATTATAATAATGCTGCTATGAACATTTGTGTGCAAACTTTCCTGGGGACATATGTTTCCATTTCTCTTTCCTGTATACCTAGGAAAGGAACTGCTGAACTAGATGGTAACTCTGTATTTAACCTTTTGAGGAATTGCCAGACTGTTTTCAAAGCAGCTGCATCATTTTACATTCCCACTAGGAGTGTATGATGTTCCAATTTCTCCATTCCTCATCAATAATTGTTACTGTTTTTTTTTATTATAGCCATCATAATGAGTGTGAAGTGGTATCTAATTGTGGTTTTGATTTGCATTCCCAGATGACTTACTGTGTTTATTGGCCATTTGTATATTTTCTTTGGAGAAATGTTTACTCAGATCCTTTGCCCATTTTAAAATTGAGTTGTTGGTCTTTTTATTGCTAGATTGTAAGAACTCATTATTATTAGATAGATAATTTGAAGATATTTGGGAGATAAGAACCTTGGTGAGGGCTTATTGAATTATTTCAACTTTCAAAATACGCAACTTGTTGGTCCAGTATTATCTGTTGTCTATTGCTTTATAAGGAACTACCGCAAAATGTAGTGGCCTAGAGCAATGAGTTGGAATCCTGTGGGTCAGGATTGGGGTGATTGGAACTGCCTGGCTGGCCATTCTTCTGGTCTCACTGGTGACCTTGGCTCAGCCACATTCAGCTGGCAGCCACCTGGTGTCTCCAGCAGCATAGTCTGGGCTTCGTTACGGCACAGTGGCTGGCTTCCAAGGCAGGGGATGTGGAAGCTGTCAGTCCCCTGAAGTCCTAGAACATCGCTGGGTCACAGCAAGTCCTAAGGTCAGTGTGGAGTCTGGAGAGGGAGTCGCTTCCACCTTCTCTGTGCACTGCGACCTGTGCATCCAAGGAGGTCAGCGGTTGTTGGCTGCCATCTTGGAGACTGGCCACCACAGAGACCCTCCCAGCAGCTGGGGAATAAGTCTTCCATCCCAAGGGGGCGACTGGCAGCACAACAGCCCCTGTCACTGTCCTCGCCTCTCCTTACTGCAGCCCACACCACACCTTAGCAATTTCAATTGCATTTCCTTTGGTCAGGCTGGTTCTAAATCCCTAACTTCAAGAGGAGGCCCTGACTATTTGGAAGAGAGGTATTTATAGAGAGGTCTGGGAAGTTTCCTGTGTCATTTTTAGGGACAGACTTTCTGCTTGGACACTGCTGTCCGATGTCCAGTTTATTAGTCCTGCTCAAGCCCCACATAGAGCCTTGGTCCCTGTCGTGGTGAGACCTTTCCTCCAGGGTGGGGCTCCGGAGGGACTCTCCAGTCAGGTGGCAGCCGGGCACGCTTGTTACCTGCCCCTCCCACCTGAGACCCCATTAGAATGACTGTGAAAGAATGTAAAAGGTGGGACCCAGAGCAAAGAAAAGGATACAGAAGAGTGATTTCTCTGTTTTTAGACTCCAGGAGGGGCCGGGAGGCAGAGGAGGTCATGGAAAAGGGGCTAACCTTCTCTTGGAATCCTGGCAAGCAGGTGGGTCCAGAGGTGTCCACCCTAAAGGAAACCGGGTCACCCATGGGCACCTCAGGCTGCCTGGTATACAGCCCGGGCAAGGAAGACCTTGAGCACTCTTGTCTAAAAGACCACCAGCTCCAGATTGCCTGGTTGGTGCATGCTTCCAGTGTGGTGTTAGCACCCAGAGTTAAAGCTCTTCCCATTCTGTCAGGGGCTGGCCCTGGGTCTAACGGCCAGGCCCCATTGCTCCCTCTAAAGTGATGTGATGTCCCCTTGCAAGGCCCGTGAAGCAGGTACAGTGCTGCTCTCCCCAGGTTGCAGACGAGGAGGCTCAGGCACACAGATGCCAGGTAACTTGCCCAGGAGGTCACACACCCTGGGGGTGTAGGGTCAGAGCCTACCCTCTTTGCTACTTGTGCTACTTCCCCCCATCTCGCAAAGCAAAAGACACCCAAACACCCACTTTAATTCTTAACATCTGAATTCCTGCAGGTGGGACTGCTCTCTGCCTCAAGGCAGAAACCACTTTCCCTGGGGGTGGTGGGTGGTATAATAATAGCAGCTCTAAGCACTCTGCAGATTCAGGAAGGTATGGCATCTGCTGGATGAGAGCACAGCCAGGGACCTCTGCATCGGCACCCACAGCGGCAGTGCATAGAGAGCCTTATTACAGCTGGGTGCATTGCTGAACATGTACTTATCACTTGGTTGTTTTTAAATTAAGCTTATATGTTAAACACACATCAACTGTTTTGCACGTTGTATAGTGTTATGCAGAAGTAGTGCATGTCTCTGGTTTACAGCTGTAAACGCTGAGTCCCCACGGTGGGGGCCAAGGTGAAACCCAGGGACCAGGAGGCCAAGAGCATCAGAACTGGGAAGTGACCTGGAGGCTAATTAGAGGAGGGCTGAGGGGCACAAGCAGCTGCTGGAATAAGAGGGCAAGAGCACAGCCTGGGGAGAGCAGGAAGAGGCCGTGCACGTCTGATGAAGGAGACACTCTCCAACCTTCAGCCCTTTTTACGGACCTCGCAAGCCCAGGGTTGGCCTTTTTAATGAAACCGAATACATCTTCTGCTATCTTTGTTTAATTAGGGACAGCTATTGGAGGAGAAAAGCACAATTGTGTATAGTGAAAACGGCAAACCACATGAAAAGACTAGCATTTTCTGAACAACTGCTGAGACCTGCTAGATAGGCCTGGGTGTGGCCAGTTTTGACAGGTCCAGGGCTGTGCTCCTGCCCTCTGCTGTTTGCAGGGTGACAGCCAGGCCTCCTCCTCCACTACCCGGCGTCGGCGTGCTTGCTCGGAGGCCTCCTCGGAAATTCTACTTCTTTGGTTTTCAGTCGCTCCGTTTTCACTAGCATGTACTGAGGAGCTGAGAGAGTACAGACACTCCGTGTAGTCCTCGTGACTTTCTCCAGTTCAGCTGTGAAGAACACGAGGTGTGGGGCAAATCAGCGGTAGCATGGGGAGCTAGCTTGCTTTCTTTCGATCTTATTTTTTAATTTAAAC